GGTTCGATACCTAACAGATGCGTTGGTCCTCATCTTCTTCCTCAACATCCTCCCACTCAAATCTATTCCATTCATTTTAAATCAAACATTCAATTCAATGAGATCAATTAATTCATCATCAGCATCATCATCAACATCAAACAAAATTACCAAAAAAAAGAAAAAGAAAAAAAACTGTTGGGTTCAATCGAACCCAGCGCATCTGCTGGGTTCCATCGAGCTAGCGAATCTGCTGGGTTCTCGAACTCGGCAGCTCTGCGGGGTTCTTGAACCCAACAATGGTAGAGGTTGAAGAGAAAAGTATAAGGGTTTGCAGAAGGCAAAGGAAAGGAAGAGGAAAGAGAACCTAGTTCGGGAAGGGAGGGAGAAATAAGGATTTAGATTTTAGAGGTTGAAGATAAGGGTAATATAGTCATTTTATTATGGTTAAAGATTATTTGGATAACTTTTTTGCCATGTCATATATTTGGACACGGTGTAAATTCCACGTATTTTATATATTAAAAAGATGTGCCCTTGCTTGTTAGTTAACAGGCCACCTCAGCAAAAATTTAATGGAATGATCAAATCAGGGTCAAAATGGTAGACAGTAGGGACCAAATCAGGGATTTTTTGAGTTGAGGGACTAAATTGAGGGTCCGTACAATAGTTAAGGAACCAAAATAAAAGTTTAACCTAACAAAAAAAATCGATATATATTGGCTAGAACTTTAGTTTATTTTTAATTTCAAGAAATGTAGTATCTTTTTTTTTTTTAGTTTGTATTCAAACGAATTATAGTTCTAATAATAATCTGAGAGCTCCTTTTTTATGGTTCTTTGTAATAATATACAATTACAAGCCGCTTATGCACCCAAGGCATGTTTTACAAAATCTAATAGGTTTAAGTACCATTTTAGTCCCTCAACTTATCACTTTGGTACCAAAATTGTCCCTCAGCTTTAAAAAGTACCAAAATTATCCTTGAACTTTCATTTTCGGTACCAAAATGGTCATTCCGTCAGTTAAATGACAGGTGGCACGTTAAAATGCCAGCAAAATCACTGCTTTTCTTTACTTTTAATGACGTGTAAATCCAGCAAACAAAATTTTGCTACCGTGGCATGTTTTTTCCACGTCAAATTGCTCCCCCTTCTCAGATTCAATTTTTGTGGGGCCCACACGAAAAATTGTTTTCCTTTTCCAGTTTCAGTTGAGTTCCCGAAGGCCAAACGAAAACAAAGCAATCAAACTTTGAATAATTTCAAAATT